GTCAAGGACTGAATTTCTTATATTTCTTTCTTTTTAAAAATTTATTTATTGTTTATTTATTTATTTTTGGCTGCATTGGGTCTTCGTTGCTGTGTGCGGGCTTTCTCTAGTTGTGGCGAGCAGGGGCTACTCTTCGTTGCGGTGTGAGGGCTTCTCACTGCAGTAGATTCTCTCATTGTGGAGCACGGGTTCCACCAGGGAAGTCCACTTATATTTATTGTCTTTTAAAATCTAGGACAGTTCTTTCCCATCCACCCATTTTTTTCTAATAATACTGACTTGTTGATGACACCAGACCAGTGTCCTACAGAAGAGACTACCTTCTATCTTCATCTGACTGTACAGATATTCCTCAACTTACAGTGGGGTTAGGTCCCGATAAATCCATTGTAAGTTGAAAATATCGTAAGTTGAAGATGTATTTAACACACCTAACTTAACAAAACTCATCGCTTAGCCGAGCCTACCTTAAACGTGCTTAGAATACTGAAGTTATCCTACAGTGGGGCAAAATCATCTAACACAAAGCCTGTTTTATAAGAAAGTATTGAATATTTCATGTCATTAATTGGATACTGTACTGAAGTGAAACGCAGAATGGTTGGTTGTCTGGATACAGAATGATTGTACATGTATTGGTCATTTCTCCTCCTGATTGCAGGGCTGACTGGGAGCTGTAGCTCCCAGCTGCTGTCCTGTATCAAGAGATAGAATTGGACTGTGTGTCAGTAGCCCAGGAAAATATCAAAATTCAGAATTCGAGGTAAGTTTTACACTGAGTGCACGTCACTTTTGTACCATCCTAAAGTTGAAAAATCTTAAGTCGAACCATCCTAGGTCGAGGACTGTCGGGGGTTCTTGTGATGTCATTTAACCTTTTGCTCAATCTCCTCTATTTTCTGTAAACTGGAATTTAGGTCTAAAGTCTCGAATATACTTTTTTTTTTGATTATACTTTTTAGTTCTGCGTGACATTATGTACTGTGACCATATGCCTGGAACATCTGCTACTGGATCAAAGGGGCAGCAACTGGATGCCTCACTGCAGACCCCGTACCTCCTCTTTCAGGTGGCAAACAGTCTGTGGTTAAGCCGCTTGATGAAGTGTGTAAAATCCCTGCATCCCTGTCCTACTCTCATCTACTCACCACCCTTCCTCGCCAGATAAACGTGTCCCCCTCCCCCATTCACTGTGTCTCTGGTACCTCCGCCAGGCAAGATTTTGTTGAATTATCTCTTGAGTTTGCATTGTGAATATGGAAAATTTTTTCAAATTAAAAAAATTAATTTAAATTTTCTTTCTTTTTTTTTTTTTTTTTTTTTTTTTTTTTTTTTTTT